GGGAAAGTCCTATTATTTCTGCAAAATAAGCTCATGTGAATGCAGGGCAATTCATCATACTAAAACATACATCCCAATATCCAGCAAAGTAAGCTTCACAATATGCCTAATAACTTGAAACTTCCCAATGGCATTTAGAGTCACTAAATGTATTTAGAAGGTCACAGGTACTCACTGTCAACATTTCGACACTGAGAGCCTGTGGGTAGGGCTCCAGAGAAAAGGAGTCCTTTGTGCTGTGTGTTGCTGAACTACAGGGAAAGCCTCCAGGAGTCGGCATCATTAGCATAAGCAGCATCCATAGGGCCCACATCATTATCCTGTATTAACAGATACTTCTGTTTGGGATGCAGGAGTAATTAAATGTTGCTATCCTCATGCTGTAGCAGAATATTTAATATATTCTAAATGGAAGGGTTGCTTTACGAATTCTCACTGCTGGCATGGCCTTGAATAGATACATTGTAGGTGGCAATAGAGGGGAAGAGGACAGGCTGAAGCCAGCCTCCAAGAAAGGAAGAGCAGCTGGAATGAAGGTCTGTGTTGCACACTACTCTCACCTAGTGACTTGGGCTCTACGTGAGGGTCCTACCAGTCATTCAAACCCTCTTCTCAGGAGACGAATAGTGGGGCTGAACAGACTTGATAGAAAGCTTCTCTCTCCCCCCATTCCCAGTTAGTGGTAACAGAAGTGGAAGAGTCAAGAGCTGGGTGGGTAACGGAGCTGGAGTGAGGAGAAGGATTATGATTACAGGAGAAATGAAAGAGATGATGGTAGTTGGATTCCTCAGAGAGAGTTAACCCAAGACCTGATGAAATCACTCTCAACTGGAATAGAGACCAAAATTCCCCATGTTGCAGCAGAAGATTGCAAGACAGTGGGACACAATGATACAGCAAAAAAGGATTCTCTTCCCCCCCCCACCTCCTCGAGCTGCAGTCACTACCAGCTGCCCATCACCTGCAGCTAGATAAGCAGAGTGGGAAGATGAGGGGCAGAGGCAGAGTTATGGAGCAGTGACATTGCAGTTGGAAGCATTGGCACTGCACAGAAACCAAGCACCATGGTAGGGCTGACTTTGTTCAGAAGTGTCTCTGGCTTCAGGGGCTTCTTTAATCTCATACAAAAAACAGCCATGAATGAGGTGCTGCAGAGGGAAGGGAGAAACGAAACACCAGTATGGTGAGGAAAGCCAGGCAAAAGACTCTTGCCCATGATACGCTCAGAGGATGTGCCAGTGGCAACAGCAGAAAGGACTGTGAGGAGCCATTGCTGCATTTATGATTAGCACAGCTCCTCAACCAGGCAGTACTAATGGGAACAGAAGGGAAAAAGTAACTGGGCAGTGAGCCTTGCTTGCAAAGGCACATGTGGACACTCCACTTACTACTCAAAAAGCGTTGAGTGGCCAAGAGGCAAAGGGCATAAACTGAAACCCATGAAATTCCATCAAAATGTAAGAAAACACTTTCCTATTGTTTTGGTGACGCCATAGGTTGCCCAGAGAGGTTGCAGAGTCTCCATCCTTGGAGGCAGTCAAAACCCGAATGGAGTCATCCCTGAGCAAAATGCTTTAGCTGACCCTGCCTGAGCAGGGGGACTGGGGTAGACAATCTCGAAAGGTCCCTCAACCTCAGCTGCTGTGTGATTCTGTGATTTTCTAGTACCTTTTTCCCAGTTTCTTGTTCTGTTTAATCTCCCATTAAAAGAAGGCTCACAGTGAAAGTAGCAATTGCTTCTAGTAGTTTGGAACGGTAAAAAATTTGAGGCTATTTGTGTGTTTTGATACAAAGTTCATTCCATGCAATGCAGAGTAATCAGGTTTTGCAACAGCATACTAGTGATGAACAGGCTGATACTGCCATGGCTGTGTTCAGCTTTGCTTCTGAACAGATTAGCTCAAGAACCTCACCTTCTGCTATTGCAAGGCTGAAGTGATATCCCAACTCCTTAGCAGTCAGCTCCTAAACCACCATGTCTTACAATGGGGCTTTTTAAGGAAAACAATGGCAGTTTGCCTTAAATTGGTGTTTGCAAGCTATGGTAGTTCAGGAGCTGATAAGTGGCTCTCAGTTCAGCCAAGGAAATAGCCGGAGTACCTGTACTGTTAGTCAGAGTCTGCCTGTTCATTCTCTTTTATTAACTTTGAACCCATTGGCCCACTTGAATCAAATGAAATAATTTGTGTAAGAATCAGCAGCTGGCAGAGGTATAAAGTTGGTTGTAGGAAATAGAGACTTAAATATATGAGAAATCTGTACACAAATGATTTCACATGGTGCCCCAGGGAAAAAGTAGCTATAATTCAGTTGTCTAAGCATGAGTATCTAATTTTAAACTCCCCAAGGTATCCTGCTTGGCCTTCAGTTGTTGCTCCAGAAAAACTCAGGTCTCCTGCATGTCCTGCCTCAGCAACATGTGGAGTTACTCTAGAGCACCTCAAATGCCAACAGATTGCTAGCTGTGGGAAACAGAATTGAGCCTACTGGGCTTATCTGCTTATTTCACAGTAGCTCCACAATGTGTTTGTAGTTCAGGTAGTAAGTACCAAAGTAATGTCTCCACTGAAGAAAACCTCTTAGCTCAGTGGTTGCTTGTTCTCTTCAGATGGGCAACCAGCCACCACTGTCTGGTCAATCAACAGAAGCTAGCTCAAAACCAGGCACAGCATGTATCCTCCCATGCCTGGTGCTAATTAAGGAGCACAGCAGGGAGCTGGGCTGCTGGCAGGCAGATGTGTGGAGGGGGGATGGAGGCTGTAGGCATTGTCAGGGAAGAATGATGGACAGGAGAGGTAGTCTAATTCCAAAGGGTAAACTCACAAGAGAAATGCTGGAGAGAAGTAGGATTATAGTACTGGTGAGGCTGTAAAGTACCAATCTAAAGGAAATAAGGCTTTATTACGTCTGCTAGTCTTTTCTCGGTTGGGTGGTTTTGGTTGTTTTTTTTTTCTTTTCTTCCTGAAACACTCTGAAATGATGTTTGTTTAATGAAAATCTCTCTCAGATCCTTATCCCCAAATGACTGATCAGCCTCAACAAGCAACCAGACTTGTACAGCTGAATAACTTAGCAACGATATAAAACCAGCCATCTGGGAAAAGTCTTGTCAACTCTTCAGAACCAATGCAGAGGTCTTCTGGGCGCATACATGAGAGAGGTTAAGATGGGTTGGCTGATATTTTCTATTTTGACATAGAGATTGATGGCTGGTGTGAAGACTGAGTCTACCAGTTTGAGCTGTCATGGGGATCCATCTAACAAGAGAATCAGTAAAATTTAAATTGTGGTGGAGAAAAAAGCATTCCCACTTTCCCATGCTTCATTTTCTAGGACAAGCCTTTAATTTTACTAGAAGCAAATGTTTTTTTTTTAATTGGGAAGGCTTATTTGGCCACAACTTTTGAAAAAAAAAAAGTCAGAGAAAACATAACTTTGTTATGAGGTAGGACTATTGTCCTGCATGGTGGTTAACCCTATATGTAGTTATAAAGGAAACAAAATTTAATTCTTAGAAAGGAGAATTAGCAAATACATTTCTCATGGCAGCTTAATTATTTTAGAATTTAACCTTGTATGCCTGTTGAAGAGTACTGTCAGGCTGTACTGGAGATAATGGGTACACTTTATCATCAGAATAGTTCCAGTATTCCCTCAAGTTTTGCTTTATAGCTTGACTGAGAACTGCATCAACTTGCATGTCTGATGCAGATTCCCAGAGATTTGGGTGAAAGCCAGACAGAAACTATCAAACTGGCTATGACTCTTTGTAATACATCTTTAATCCATAAAAGGAAGCTAGTCAAAGTTTTAGTAACAGAGGGCCAGGTCTTCAGGTTTCATAAATTAACTATCTCATTGAAGTTGATAGAGTTATGCTGACTTAAATAAGTTGAGGTTCCAGCCTAGAAAGTGAATGAGAACGCAAGGCAGGGCAGGGAGTGACAATCATTTTCAAGGAACATTTCAACAGCTCCCATATTAGTCCTTGGCAGTACTTACATCCTGGTTGGACATCTCCCAGTATGGTCTCTCACCATAGGACATCACCTCCCACATTACGATCCCATAGCTCCACGCATCGCTTGCTGAAGAGAACTTCCGGTAAGCTATAGCTTCAGGAGCAGTCCACCTTATGGGGATTTTTCCACCCTGGAAAATACATTGACAACTTATCAATATGACCAGAATACAGAACAGCAAATGTTTAAAAGAAAATGAAACAAAAGATATCCTGGATGCTGAGATTCTACATTCTGCCTTCTGTCAATTTGCCTTGTCAATTTGCTGTAAGTGGAAAGGAAGAGATATATCTTTTTCAGAATTTGATAAAAATTTGGTTTCGTTTGTATTGTAATTCACCAAAATCAGCACTTTGTGAAAAAAAAATCTCAGTTCAAAGAACAGAAAGAATTTTAGATGATTCGTGTTTGATCAGAGTCATATAATTATTCAGAACATGCCTTTTGATTGAAAACATCCCAAGCCTGAAGTTCCTAGTACATTGACATTTAATCTTTTTTTCCTTAAACAAAATACAAAAATCTATTGCAAAATGGAGCACTGAAGCACTTAATAATACATAATCTGAAAGGAAACTATACTGTATTCTTTTTTCTGGATAATCTCTTTAAATTTCTGTTGTGCCTTTAAATATCTAGTTGATAGCAAAACAAATATGTTTCTAATAGGCATTTCCTTAGAATATTGAATAGTTTTGTTCCGCAGCTTTCAACTTAAAATCCAAGTGCTACAACAAAAAAAAAAAATCCGTAATAATTCAATAAACAAACCTGACTGACTCTTTACAAGACCACAGTATGCAGAATTTTTCTCTGACATTAGTAGTTTAAACTGTTGAATCTCTTCTCCCATAAATAGTTTATATATGAAAACTACTTTTCCATTTCAGAACAAAGTATTTCTTCTCCAGATGCATTTATCGTTTCAAAAGTATACATTTTTCTTTTCAAAAGCATACATTTATTATTATTCTCCATTTAACTCTCTAAATAGGTAGAGGGAGTGAGCAGTATGCTAAAGGTGCCACTAGATGGTAGGAGGAGGCAGTCAGTAGAGCTGAGCTCGCTTAGCAGTAGTTGCTTACAACAAGCAGTAATAGATTCTGCTCAACGTTATAATTGTATTTCTGACGGAAACAAAAGAAGAAATGAACTAGAACATCCATTTGGCAACTGAAGAGAAGCCACAGTTAAAAACAAGTATTTAAATCTCTGTTAATTTGCTTTGAATATATAAAAAATTGTCTGCGAGTTGTTGAGGCTTGACTTCAACTGACTGAGAAGATGCTCGTTCTACCAAAAAAAGTGTTCAAAAGCAAAGCTGTGTGTCTGTGGTGATGTGCCAGCACGCTAACTTCTCATCACTGAGTCTCACCTGCTGATGAAAAACTGTATCGTTAACATTTATGTTGTCTGATAGTTGTGATAATAGCCAAGATGTCCTTTGTATGATGTGACCCTCAATGCCCTTCCTCACCAGCAGCCTATCAGTCCTGGCTGAGAAATGATGTAGAAGGTGACACACTTGTTCCAACACAAGAGTTCACTGTCTGAACCTGTCTTACCAAGAAATCCCCTTGATGCCTTTTGCTTTATGCCCACTCAAGATACTTTCTGGAGTCCGATACCGGCATTCGAGACAGGATGCTGTCCTGGTTTTAGCTGGGACAGAGTTAGCTCTTCTTTTTAGCAGCTAGAAGAGCTCCGTGTTTTGGTTTTACTCAGAGGCTCACTCTGAGAAGAACGCTGATAGCAAGCTGATGTTTGTAGTTGGCACTGAGGTCTCAAGGACTTTTCAGCTGCCGTGTTCTTGCCAGTGTACGGGAGCACAACAGGATAAGGGGGGAGTATAGCCGGGACAAGGGGTCCACGACTCTCCTTACGATTTGTACTTAGATTTAAGATTGAGGGCCAAACTGGCCAATTAGTATTCCATATCATGCAGCGTCATGCCCAGTATAAGAGTGAGGGTCAGCCGGAAAGAAGGGCTTTTGCCCTTCCAGGACTCTCACTTTCGGGCTCTCAGAGTGTTTTCTCTCTCTCTCGCTCTCTGTCTCGGGGCCTCCTGTTCGTCCGGGATCGCGGTATCGAGTTTAATGCGTTTCAGGATTGCAGCTTTGGAACGAGACAGGCCTCGGTCAAGGGATGGTGAGCAATTACACCATACATCACTTGATTGTGTATGTTTATCCTTGTACATATCCGTACATATATATATTGGTAGCAGTAGTAGTAAATTGTTCTTATCTCAACCCTCGGGTCTCTTTTCTTTTTCCTCTTTGATTCTCTCCCTCATCCCTGGGGGTGGGGGAGGGTGAGGGAGGGACTGTGTAGGGTTTAGTTGCCAGAGCGGCCTAACCCACGACAATGCAAAAGAAAATTTCCCTATTTTCTTTCCTTATCACAGCTCGCAGGAGATGACAGGAAAAAAAGTCTACCAGTTCAGATATTTGTGTTACTGTAAGACTTTGTTTATCAAGATGAACTGAAGAATCAACAAATTTACTATAAGTCTACATTACTGATTTGGAAAGTTTTGTTAATCATTTATTATGTTTTGAATTTTAATGAAAAGTCTTATGTTAATAATTAAATACCTACTTTTAGGGAAAAGACAAATCTATACATGCGAAGAAAAGGCATTTGGATATTTACAGATTTTACTTTCAACATATATATGTTTAACATTTATAACATCATATGGATAATGTAATAGGAAAATTATTTTTAAAGTGTTCTCTTTTCATAAATATGATTATGTATTCTCAAATGTTTTATACTCAAAAAAGAGGTCACATCTCGAGCAGCATTTGCAGCTACATTTGTGACTATTGGAAAAATATAAATGAGTTTTAAAGAATCTGATTAGACTCTACAACTAGTTCCATGGTACAGCTTTACTGGCTGATCCTTTTTGGACTGAAACAGTAGTGGCTCATGGAGTGTGAAAATGAGAATGGAGAACAGTCTTAACAAAATTTGAGGCAGTTCACGTTCAAGGGCATGAGATATGTTCAGTGTTGTAATGTAAAACGAAATTCTTTTCTGCTAACTCTAATGACAAAGTGAAGCAAAACCTCTAAAATTTTTACAATGGATTCATCTTATGTATGAAGATGTTATATTCATAAAAATGTAAATTTCAATACTTAATTATGTTTGTAGAGTATCTTTTTATGCAAAAAAGTTTTTATTTATTTGAAAGCCATTTGAAAGGCAGAGATTTCAATATGACTACCTTAAGAGACGTATATGACTGAACAGTAGTAATAGCTGCTCATGCATAATTAAAGAACACATAAGGTTTAGAGTAGCTGAAAATATATTTCCTGTTTCTGATTAGAGTAATAAACAGTGTTACTGATTTTGGACATGCCTTTTTACATTTTGATCTAACTAGAAAAATAATAAACACAATACTTACTGTTTACATAATGCCTCACCTTCAAATTAAGATAATTTATAAATAATCTACATTTTACTACTGTAGCAATGAAATCTGTCACAACTCCCCGTATCAGAAAGCACTTAGGCAAGCCCATTCTGCTTTTAGGTTATTCTCTCTCTTTTGGGAGGCGGGGAGAAGGGGCAGAATAGGTGTAAGGAACCAAATTGTATTTCTGCCTCATCTCATACATTAATAATGATATCAGTGATAGGCTAATTTTATTTTCACATAGTAATTATGTGAACGTAACACAAAGAACACTAACACTGCTATTCAAGTAATTAGAATTCAGCCTTTTTTTCCGTATGCTGCCAGCTGAATAGTGTCTATCTCCTGATTTTTTTCTTGATTGTAATTTTATAAGCAATTTTACTATGCAGTGTCAAAAGTCCCCTTGGAATTACAATATTAGGCTCACATTGCTTAGCTTGTAGAACTGCTTAGAGATCAGCCCTTGAAATGAAATTTACCCCCTCGCCCACCCACACCTACACCCACGCTCACGTTCCCTACAGCGTTGGCAACAGCACAGTTTGCCACACGTTTAAAGACAGAATTGGAAGTACATGTTGCAGAATGCCTCATTCTTTACCTCAAGCTATGCATGAGAGAGAGACAGTCTTCCCAAAATGTCATCTCTTCTTTGAGCTTACAACAAAAGAGCTTGTGATCTGTTATTTGAAAAGACCCCGGCAAAGAAAGGCAAATGACACTGACATTACATATTGTCCAATGGGCCACAAAGTCTATTCCTTACTCTGTGTTTTTGCCATCTCTCATTTGATTTTTTTTTTTTTAACGTTAGACATCTTTTTAAAAATGAGACACATTAACAGTTTCTTTAATCAAATATTTAAACGTCTTTTAAAACTCCAGCAGAACAACGTAACTAGCAGCTACGGCCCGTTACTCCACCAAGATGAAGGTTGAGATATATCAGCAACCTCAAAATGCTTGATGTGAAAAATGACAAGAGAGGGCACAGAAGCAAAGAAGGAAGCCTGTTAGATACCCAGAACTTTTGGCATGCCTTGCTAGCTAATTAAGGTGAGGAGCGATACCACTGAGAACCTTAGATAAAAAACTGAAGGCAAGATGTATAAGCTGCTGCTGGATGTGCAAAGATAGTGATACATGTAAGCAGCCAGAAGAAAACACAGTGATCAGACTCATGATGTCCTAGAACTAGCAGTGATGTGAAACAACGCCTGTTCCTGTTGAAAAGCCTGTTCTGTATTTTCATTGAATGACAGACACTGCAGAGGGACTGTCACAGAGCTGGCTGCAGTTTTACTAAATGCTGAGGTGCAAACCCGTCAGTTCCAGATGCACAGACATCTAGAACTGTCTATTTCTAGGAGAACGGGTACTGAACTATGTGCACCATTAGTCTAATCTGGCACAGTATTTCCTATGCATCTGTCAGTTACTATTCCTTTATGTATGGCGTTACTGAATTGTGCAATAATTTTCCATGACACAAGTGTAGTATCTCTCTTTTTCTCCACTCCAAATGACAGAAATGTGGGAAAAAAAAAAGAATTTCAGACTGAAGAGAGACAAAAGTAATGAGAGAGATTAGTTTTAAATATTGGGCATAATTCATCATTCTGTACAAAAGCCTTATGCCACTTTACTGAAGCGATGCTTTTATTTGAGCATATGAATAAAATTTTTCATGT